TTTTTAGCAGTCTAAAAAGCTCATCAGGCTCTTTTACGAAGATCTCTAGTTTGAACCTAAATAACACAAAAAACCAAACTATCTCCAAAAATAAGTAGCTCATTCATGCATACTTTCTGTATGTCTTATGATTTCTCACAAAAAATGGGTAAAATAACTGTAATATAACAAGCCTTCCACTTCCTTAGTACAAAAAAAGAAACCAGGCCTTTTAGGTTATTGAACTTCTGGAGATACTCACTACGAATGTGACATACGCCACTCATCAAAACGTGGAAACAAGACGATGGCTCAATACAGCACCCAAACAACGCGGCTCCCCACCAGTTGATCGACGGCAATGTGATGAGGTCAGAGGAAATTTTTTTCTGATTGCTGAGCCTTGATGCATTAAAGAAATTCAGGCAACTTGGAATCTTATACAAAAGTATGCAATGAAATGTGAAAAACTAGCATCAAGAATACCAAGCTCTAGCTCAAGTGATCGATTCTTGCAATCAAATAAGTCCACATATTGGTGAACATCAAACAACATGAAAGACTAATTTATAACTCAAGAAATAATAAAAAATAAGCAGGCGGTAAATAAGATCAAGTTATTAAGTAGCTCAGATTAAACGAGGTATACTACACACATAAAACAAAAGTTAATAAAGCATTTATTTCCTATCTCGGAAGACTTCGGATCATTTTCGTAAGCTTTTGTAAGCCGTAAACAGCACTTCTATAGAATCCTGCTGTCACAGTATTTTTGAGCGTTTGTGAGATGGCAACCGGAGCAACGATAGAGGAGATAGCCTGCGCCACATGTTCGGCAACATCATGACGATGTGCTAGTGAGAATAGCACCTAAAATGCACAGCACTTTTGAGACAGCACAATGAACGAAAAAATAAAAGAGATAAAAATTTGAGAAAATAAAAAATACTAAAATAATATGCCTTAACACACCTCCTCCGTATCCTTATGCCACTTGTTTCTTTTGTTCCAATTATGTTGTATAGAGTTCAGGACAGCGGAAGGTAGAAGATTCAAGCGATGATATATGGCGGCGGTGGAGCCATCTTGCAAAATCTAGAAAAAAAATCAAAAACAAAAGTAAAGAGTGTTTAGAACGA